AAAAAAAAAAAGAAAATGAAGATCAGCCAAGTGTGCTGGCACATGCCCTCCATCCCTGAGTGCTGAAATTTAGAAATGAGAGCCTGTCTCAAAATAAACAATAAAACAAGGGTTGGGGGATGTAGCTCAAGTGCAAAGTCCCTGCAACCTCAAGTACAAAAACAGAACAAAACAAAGAGAAAAGAAAGGAAAGAAAAGGAAACCATGTCCAAGCCATGGTCTCCCCCACCCCTGTCTCTGGTGACAGCATCTGCCTGGAGGCCCCTAAGATGTTTCCACGTTCACAAATTTTCAGATACTTTACTCGTACCCTGTTTTCTGATTTATCTGAACTACTTCAATGGCCTCCTATGTGCTTTCCTGTAGTCAGGCCAATCAAGTATAAACTATGGTCAAGAAGACCTCCCAAACTCCTACTGTAGTTATGCAGCTTTTCTAGTGAAAAAAAATTGGGAAAGACTTACAATTGTTTGAAAAGTGACATCATGCTCTAGATCTTTTGAACCAGACCTAACATATTTTTCTAAGAGGTTTTCTTTCTGTTCCTCACCCTGCTGATTCAAAGTGGATTTCTTTTTCTCCTGCCCTTGTTCTCTGCCTGGAACGTTCTCCAGTGGCACTCAAAGAGAGGTCCATGAACTGCTGAGCCAGCATCATCTAGGAAATCGTTAAGAGCGGGGGTGCCAGTCCTGGACACTGCTAGGTCACCTGCAAGTCTCTGGAGTCAAGGCTGAGCAAAGTGTGTTTGATGAACCTCAAGGTGATCCTGATGCCCTGAAGATTGAAAAACACCATGCTTACCCTAAAATAAAACCTAATGGGAAGATAATTGCTGGTCATCCCCATGGTGACAGCCAGCATCCTGCAGATTATACCCCACTCTTCTCTTCCTTGGTGGCTGCTCTGTACTGGCAGGCAGGGCAAGGTGAATGGGGCTGGTCCCTCTCACCCCAAGCTTTCAAGGCTGATTATTTTCCAGTTAGGTCTTACTTTCAGGAAACGGCATGTTTCAAGGCTGAACTCAAATTTCACTTTCACTTCAAGGACAAATCCTCACACTCAAAAACAATTTCTAACCAGGGAGATAGCTCAGTAGAATAAGCACCTGCCTGGCAAGTACAGGGTCCTGAGTTCAGTCTCTGGTACCGAAAAAAAAATTCTATTTCTCCTAGCCCTAAAGAACATTTCAATTGAAATACAGCATGTGTTAGTATAATTCAAATTTGTTTTGTTTTGTTTTTCAGTACAGACAATTGAACCTAGGGCCTTTACACGGAAATATATCCACAGCTCTTTTTTACTTTTTGAGACAGAATCCTAAACCACTAGAATTACAGGCAAGTGCACCATGTGCTAGGTATTTACATTTTTAACAAACTTGACTTTGTCCCAAAAATCAGAGTTATGCATTCAGCCCCATTTTGGTATCCATGAGTGGTCTATGAGAGTTGGGAGTGGTAGACACTGATGCCACAGGTTAATGAAAAAGGGAGAAGCTTTGAAAGAATGGAAAAGTAGAGTTTTACTAAAAAAAAAGTATGTGAGAAAAGTAGGAAAGAGAGAAAAAGACAGTGGATCACAGGATGAGGGAAAGGGCATCAGGCAAAAACGAGGTGGGTGAAGGTTCTTAGGGTCCCTTAGAGAGCACTTGGTGTAGACAAAAGTCCTTCCTTTCTTTTTTTGTCAGCCAGACTAGAAGGAAGGACATCACTGAGTAAATGATTTTAATCTCTTTCCTTGCCTGGTGTATTCTTTCTGTCGGGGTTCGTACAGTTGTAGTACTTGTTATCTCTTTCCAAAATGTACTTCAGAACATGCTGGAGTGCTGGGTTGTCAGCCATGGATTTCCTAATTTTCCTTCAATTTTGAAGCATAGTTTTGTGGTGCACATCAATCTGGGCTGGAGGTTGTTTCTTTTAGGACTTGAAATACTTCCTGCAAAGCTCTCCTTGACTTACAGAGCTTGTGTTGAAAAAGTCAGCCTAATTCTGATGGGCCTTTCTTTTCTTTCGTTCGTTCTTTTCTTCTCAATTTTTATGTATCTGGTACAGGGTATCACTATGCAGCTTGGACTTGTAGTGATCCTCCTATTTTCAGCCTCCCCAGCACTGGGATTACAGGCATGTGCCACCACGCCTGGACTTGGTGAGCTTTTCTTCATAAGAGATTTGTTTCTTTTCTCTAACTGTTTTAATATTGTATTCTTTTGTTGAATTTCTAGAATCCTATTTTATGCCTTGAGGTAGATTTTCTTTGATCATGGTTAATTAAACTTCTATACCCCTCACTTATACCTCATTGTATGTCAAATTCTTTTTTCCCTGCTTGGGAGTTTTCGGCCATCACTTCTGTTAGCAGGTTCTTATATATTATTTGTATTATCTCCTACTTTTCTACTGACTCTGATCAATCCAGTGTTATTCTTCTTGGCATCATATAGCAGCTGTTGCATCAATTTATCAGTCCCTTGGTATCTTTAAGAATCCTCTCATGATTGCTAACCACACTCCTCTCTTTTACATCTGATATTCTGTCCTCACAATGGTTCATTCTGCTGTGAAGACATTCAATGGGATTTTTAATCTCCTAGATATCTGACTGAATCTATTTCATTTCTTTCCTATGTTGGGCATTCATGATTCCCATCACCTTCCTAAGCTCCTTTTTTATGTGCATCTTCTCTAGATCTATTAAACATGCCCCTTATTATGGCCCTCATCTCTGAAGTTATCAGAGACAGTATTTTGATTTTATTTTTTCAAAAAATCATTCATTTGATTTGTTACTTCTGTTGTTACCACTTCAGAGAGTCCAGATGGGTAGCCTTTGAATTGCTCCACCTTACTGTCCCTGGGTTTTCCTTGAATGGACAACAAGCCTGGGGTTGAAGCTTTCTTCTAAGCCTTGTCATTTTCTATTTTTAAGTTCTTGTGTTGATGCTTGTAAATAATTTATGATAGATATCTCTATTGCTAGTATCGAGCACCCTTAGGAAGTAGCTACTTCTCAGAGATGTCTTCCAGATGGTTTTGATTCTGTTGCAAACTTCTACCTCTTCAATTTGTTAGGGATGAGAAGTTTCTGCTTAGTTGGCATAGACCCTGGGTCTTTGGCACTGGCCTATAATACCGTTTATGATCACCAGGCATTATCAATGTGGCATATAAGAAAAAAACACCTGTTTAGAACAATTATATCACCTTGGCTAAAGTAGTACAATCAGGAAAATCATTAGCATCAAACACATCCTAGAAATTGACAGATTGTGGCAACTCTTTTAAACATATGGACAGAAGAAAAAAACTAGAAACAATGTTTACACATGTATAAAAAACAAATAAAAAATAGAAAGTTAAAATTAAAATATTTTTAAAATAATGAAAAGACATGTAGGGAAAAAGTTATCCACTTCAGGGTGTGTCTGTTGTCACTAGTTGACATAAAAGACCGACAGAGCCCAGATCAGTGTCAACTGACCCCAGAAAGCCAGCAGTAGAATTATGATGCTGTGGTAAATAACTGCAGGAAACCCGGGCCTTTCATCCCACTGAAGCCAAGCTGCTTCTGCTTTGTGGCTCTGAGGCTGGGACCCTACTTTTTCACCTTGCAATACTCCAAGTGACTCATATCTACTCCAAGTTGACTGCCTGCTTAAACACAGCTGCACTTTCACCTTGACACTTGGAGCCACTAGATGCAGCCAGCCCAAAGCTGCTGTCAGGTTGTACTTCAGTTGGCCCCTTTCCAACATGGCTGCTGGCTAATAACCCTGTGTTGGAGGGCACCTGAATGCAAATAATCACCAGCCCCTGCAGTCCACAGTATCCACCTCTCTGCTCCACTGGTACATTTTTCTGTGGAGGCCTCTGGGGTTGCCAGTAGTCACTGTGCCTCCACAGGTGTGAGCCACCCCACCCACACAGCGAACTGGGACTCAGGAAAAAAGTGAGCTTGCCACTTCCCTCCTCTTCTTTATGATCCCTGTCTTCCTTCTCCCCACAGACTCTTGTTCTTGCGTCAGATCCTGACTGGGTCCTGGGGGACTACTTCCCTCTTCACTCTCTTCCTCATGTTGCTTCCAGTATCTAGATTCCAAGTATCACAGAAGCTGTTTCTCAGCTGGTCACCATTCTGCCATCTTCCTGGAAGTCTCACATACATAATTTCAATTGTGTATGAAAATTTAACCTTCGTGTGTCACATGAATTCTAGCTAGTTAGCTTTTGCTGATCACTTGTAATACTTGTGCTAGCAAAATGTTGGAGTGAAAAATACCTGTACAGTTTTTCAACTTAATTTCAAAAAGAGCTTGGAGATAGGTGGCAAAGAGGCATGGAGCAAAAAGAGTAGCCCTTTCCAACATGGCTACTGGCTAATAACCCTGTCCTGGAGGGCGCCTGAATGCAAACGGTACATTTATACTGTTCCATTAATCCTGATGTGCCAAATTCATTGGATTATTAAGCATCTAGCAGGTTAGCAAAGCACATTCCTGGGTATTTCTGGCGAGTCACTCTACCTGGTCCCTCACTCGTCTGTCTCAGGCACCACTCCCTGGATCTGCTTCCTGGTTATCACAAGCATGCAGTTGTGCTCCACCATCTCCACCCACCATGATGATTCTTTGGAACCTTCCAACACTGGACTGACTCTCTTGAAACTATGAGCTAAATTGAAACTTTTTTCTTTTAGTTGTATCAACTATTGTGTCTCATTGATAGGAAAGCTGATAAATATGCTGCTCTAGCATTGAATTCCATTCTTATTTGTGCTACCATGTTCAGTAATCATTAATTCAATGAGTATGGAGTGCATGTCAAACGACTTTCTCAGTTATCACATGTAAACCACAATAAACACAGTACCTGTGTTTTTGGTCAGGTATCTTGCTATTGCCAGGCTCTGATGAAGGATAAGTCCATCCACTTCCAAAACAGGGATCTTGCCAAATGGAAGAGCTTCAAATAAGAGGAGCAAAGAATCAGCCTCCTGGCATAACCAAGAGTTATGATATGACCATTTTTACAATTTTTACAAGCAATCATGGTTACAAAGAATGACTTTAAAAATCATAGAATTCTTACACATATATTCTTCAAAGGGACATTTAACAACCTCAAATGAAATATTTACATTTTATACGTCAGAAAAGACTTAGAAAACTGGATTAAAAAGTCAATGACAAGACTGGCTCTAACATCTAGGCTTATAGTGATACTATATTTGACACCAGATATTATTTTA